CGACGATATTCATCGTACGGAGTAGCAGCGCGCGAAATAAGGGTTTGCGGATAAGGTTACGGCGGGCTTCCTCCGACCCACGGTTGTTCACGAGACGCTAACGACCTGGGGAATCGTCCGTAGATACTTGAAGATACCAACGTGTCTCTACCGGTTACGGAGAATTCAATGAAACTGGGCCCATTGTCCGATTGATACTACATTTTTTTTACATGCTCTCACTCGGGCTCAGTACTATTCCGATGTACGGACGTCATCCGTTCTCTGGAGCAATGGCATAAATTTCTCTCGCGTTCCTGACACATTTCATCGTGCCAATATTACCCGATACTGTATTATATTATATCCACACAAAAATTTTCGTGCGAAATTTAATCAAACCTCGGCGAAAATTGGGAAGTGAAATTTAATCAAAATTTATGCCAGGAAGTAGAATATTTAATAACGAAATATCAAAGGGTATGATTTACGTATGAAATGTATTTTTTCGTAAAAGAATACGAAGTATAGAATTCGTCTATCGAGCGTGATCACGAAATCGCGTTACATTACGTGTTCGAATGTTGCGAGTTTTGAAGATTTAAACACTTCATTAGTAGGGCTGTAGATACTAGATAGGCAGAGGTAAACCACTTCTGGCAAGCAGATGTCTTATGATAAGAGATCTTCGAACCATCTTTTTTTTTTAACTAATAATAATAATTTTGAGCAAGAGTTTCAGAAGATGGCTTTTGACACCAGTAAAAATAGTGTTAAATATCCTCTGGTATACTTATATCGTGTTTTTGACCTTACAACCCACGGCCTCCAATAAGATCATTCAAACAGTTCATATGTACAGACACGATCGCTCATCCATTCGAAGCAAAAATACTGACACTTGTCCAGTCTATTTCAAACTAGAAAATACGATATTAATTTAGCGTGAATTTAATTGCTCCATAGAATATTAGGAGGGTCTAATCGTTAGAGACAACAGCGGCATGACCGGAAACGCGTCGAGTGTATCGACTACTTCCGGTTGACCTACCTCGACGCAGTCCGCAGCCAAAATTTCGGCTCAGAACCCGAGCGCGAAACAGGAAAGCCCCGAGAATCGATATCCCGATTCCGTGTTCCAGAGGCCGCACTGTTTATGGACGGATGATTATGAGCCCGATGAATGTCCGTCGGCGAATCCGACGAGCCAATGAACACGCGAATAGTATAAATGCTGGAATATTGCACGACCGGGGGATTGTAATTTTAGCGTAATTTACAATATAATCTGGATCCCCGTGGGAACCGGTCATTCGCGCATAAATAATCATTTTCTAATTACGCTCACACTTACACGCGAATCGACGTATACGTACATCTGCGTGCGAGTAAGTTGCAGCGAAACGCGAGTTTAGAAAACTGAACAGAATAGATCGGTAAAAAGTGGCAATCGAAGAGAACGGGGAAATGAAAAAACACAGCCCTCTGGGCCGAGAAACGAGCCACGTTATATGTACATACCGGTTGGTTCCCTTTCACTCGAATTTCCCAAGGGTATTCAGAAAATGATCAGAGTCCCAGAATTTTCAAGTCGAGGAATTTACGTGAGTAGTTACGGTTACCCGAAGTCTATACCGCCGTTCCCGTTTCCTTTTTATCTATCGAATCCCTTTCCCGCTTTGACGTATCGAACTTACCTGGATCACCGTTCTCGTCGACGATACACACAGTCATTTCTCTGCGCTTTATCACCCTATTACCTATGAATCGTGGTTAACCGTTGTTATCGCGAAATCTGTAACGCGATAATCTGATGAATGCGAGAGAAAGAGAACCATTCATCGGGACACGGTGAACGCTAAATTGATAATTTATAATACACACCAGTCCGATTGGGTCGTTGACATTTTCAACGTCACCCACTCGAGTATCATCGATTTCCAATTCGTTCCAAAGATATCTTAACAAAATGGCGTTTGAATACTCACAGATTTCCATATTCTCTTAAACGACTTCACTGAATCTCATAAAGATGTATTTTGAACGGACGCGGCTGACCAATCGTTCACTCGTACTACTTACGCTACAAACGGACCATTGTGTCCGATTTGCTTATTCGTGAATCTAGTTGACCGGGTCGCTACTAATCGACTTTATACTCCGTTGCAGTAAGACTGAAAGTTAATTAATAATTCCGCCTCCTTTGTTCGAGATAATAATCGCCAAAAGTAGAAAGCCATGGGTACTTCCTCTCGATTTTTATAATTGTTACTCCTGCTGTTGTTCTATTTAATCATATGATTCTTTCCTTCCGGTTCAAACTTCTCATTTCTGCATCGTGTCTGACGTGCTTTCTTTTCCAAAATAAAAAAAAATTTTGTTAACTCCCGAAATACGACAAAAGCTCGCACTCTAATAACAATCTCGATGAAACTCCAGGATTTCGTCAGCGGAAATTGCTCGATTTTTTTCTCGATACTCTGATCAATTTCGTCGGCGAACGTTACCTTCGTTTTGTCAGCGAAACGTGCAAACATGGAAGGGTAGGTTACGGTACACATACGTATACAACGGGACGTGTCTGGCGAGGCACTCTCTCTTTTTCCTGTGCTTATTTTTATTAATTACAGCCGATCCACGAGAGAAGTCCCGCGGGTTAATCCACTTCGCATCTGCTATCTGTCGCTATCTATATAAGAGTCTTCTCGCTCGTCGCCGCAGCCACAACGCGGCCGGTAACGTGACGGTATCGCGGGGAGCATCGTTTACTCAGTAAATTAAATATGAATTGCCATTTTGTTCCTGCCGAAGGGGCATGCTAAAGAGCACGTTTTAACGGCGTTTCCTACGTGTTACTTTCGCTAAAGTAAAACTAATTCCATCTAATTCCATTATTACGTCGGAGAGCGAGCTCTGTAACCCGAGCTACCTTTCTATTTATCTTAATTTCAACAGCTCCGACGGTTACGGCCCCCGTATTTACCCCCGATTTTCACTAGGGTTCATTATATTCGAGCAAACTCGGTAACGCGGTTATTTACGTTGCCGCGACTCGTAAAACTGCCGGTTTGCAAGGGAAAAAAATTTCGTTTCTCCACAAAGAGCCAACTGATCAACGGTCGCACGCGTCACATTCAAAGCGGTTTTGATTGGATTATCCGATCTCGAACAGCGAACTAGGAGAAATTAGGGCGACGCCGCTGACGAACAATGCGATATCAATGTAAAACCACCCTAGAGACAGTTCGATCGTTCGCGTCGTTTTATGTGTAAAAATCTCGCAGTCGAGATTTTATCGAAATTACATCCAGTTCCGTACACAATTATCGGCTCTCGATGAACCATATGAGGGAATATAGATTCGATCCGCGCTCTATTCGTAATAAGATGACACCGGCGACCCCGAAGACATTAATCGGATCAAATTTATTAATACAGCGGGAATACACTCTCGGCAGTAACTTACCAAAGAGCTTTCCGTAATGCGTTTATTGATTTTTACATATGAAATGACACGAGTCAGAAACCAGTATTTTTTAACTATTTACCAGTCTTCTATCAACCACCAACAGTATACCAAATTAATTTTAAATCATCATCAATGATATTGTTCATTTCCAAAATCGTAAACTGACATGCTGGTATTTTACTCTACATACTTAATAAGTACTACGTTTACGAAGCGCGTCATTTTGACAGATTCCGACGGTCATATTATCCATTCAAGCTGTGTGATAGGATTAAGTAAAATTATCTGGTCCAAATATGCAGCAGTCTCGCCCAGGCATCGCATAATTTTTCCCTCGGCCGAAAAGTGGGGACGACGCGACCATGGTGGGGTCTGGTACTTGATGGGGGTATGCTAGGCATGGTCAGCGAAGGCGCATGAGGGGAATAGTAGTGGGGCTCAAAATACGGTCGAAAAAGAGGGGAAGTGAGCCGTGAAGGAAAAATTATGCGCACCCTGAGTCTCGCCTCCCATTCAGAAATTACCCTCGTCGTTTTCATTTTGAACTAGATACAGAAATTACAACTAGATAATTTAGCTCGTGGTACGTTTCAACCGTGCTGGACGATCTCTCCCAAAATCGGTTTGCAGACCGGTATTTAATTACACGCCTAGCGTCAACACTTGCGAGTGCAATCGCGATTGGCTGACGAATGCGGTAGCCACCTAGTGGCCGGTGTCAACTTACCGCTTGAGCTAGCAGGGCGGAGCTCGTATTACGAAGCTGTATAATAATTTCATGATGAGGAAAATTACAGGAACTTGTACTAACTATTATCCATTTATATTATCCAAATATATACCGAAATTTTTTTTCTTCAATGCCTTTTTGCTGCTATGATTTTTGAGATCTCTATGTGGTACACCTGTCTTTATGGAACGCATCAAACTGACGCGTATATAAATATCTGTAAACTTAGTGTTAAGAACAAATACAGAATTCGTGATCAAGCTTTGAGAAGCTTCTCAGCAGACGCTGCGCTCAATGTATCAACATATTTAATGCATATTTGAATCTGCTTCTGAATAACATTGTTATCACGAATGTAGCAAAGAGAATAAGAAAAATTCGCTGAGAGAGACACGGGTAAGCGAATAAGAACCGAGGAAGGAGCAACACGAAGAAGTGGAGATCTTCGACGATATCCTTTCGACCCGGTCCGTTTTCTTGTTTCTTCTTACACGGAGTCGAGGAAAAGCGGACTTTGTACTGCTTGGCATCCTTCGACTTCGACTTTGCCAGAGCCCGTAACCCGCGGTCCGATCGCACCCTCGAGAGTAATTATTTAAATCGAGAAAAACAGTGCAGAAAGTATGGGCGATTTTTTCCAACCGGAACTACCCTTACGTGGCTGGTACCTGAATCGATTCCCACGCTAACGAAAAACCGACGGCACAGAGGCGAACTCGAATTATTCGCGGCTTATCAAAATATTTGCTCCTCCGACTTCCGCGAATGTTTGTACATTAAAAGGAATTTGAAAGAATGGAAGATTCGTTTGTTGGCACTCACCCAGTTCCGGGCCGCAGACCCTCGGTATAATTTCCAGAATGGCGCTGCAGGATGGATCCTCGAAACACAGTTGTCGCGCGTAAAGACAGTTCAGTATGGAGACCGGGACTTTGATGTCGGATCCTGAAAGCAGAAATGTCGGGACAAGGGTTAGCTGGTGTATCGTCCTCCAAGGATAGCAATAACACTATCTGACCGACTCGGTCGTGGACGATCGCGTTTATTTATCGAACCGAGCAACGACGTAAGCAATTCGAGTGTCAGATTCGATGAACCTACCTAGGGTAGAATTGTTTGCTGGACACAAGCGTATCAGCTTGGGATAGAGGAATAATCCACGCTGCAATGAGCAGTTTACCATCGTTTAGATCAATTAAATCGAACGGTGACTCGTGAGTTCGAAACAACTATTTGATGCGAAAGTGAAATGACGATATGCTCGTTCATTCGCGTCTTAGATACATCATTACGAGTTTGTGGAACAGTCGGTCGACGATGAAATTTAAAAGCGGCAATCGTGGCTGAGAGGCAGAGCGGTGGGAAGTAGAAAAGTAGGAGGAGGAAAATGGGAAAACTGTGCGCGAATTTTTACGAGCCACTCGTGAAACGGAAGTCGATAAAAGAAGAGCGTACTCCGCTGTAATTAATTACGAAACGTTCGCTACCGTTGGAAACAGCTATAAAAAAATGCGTCGTCCTCAACGTGCATATAGATGGATATTCTCCTCTCTCATCCTCCGCCGTTCGAGGGCTCCGCGCGCGCCTGTGTGTGTGCATCGATGACGATCTCACCGGGAAGATGGACGGATCTTTTGAATAGCGAATCGGATTCAAGTCTTTTACCACGGTACCGCTCCTCCGTGCTTGGCCGATCCAAGGATCGCCACTTCCGGACACATTTTTCACTGACACGTATCTCTCCTACCCCGACGGAGACATTTCAAAATTAATGACACTCGGTTCGATACAAAGTACTTCAAACTTGCAATCTTATGTAATAAAAAGTCTTACACAGTAGAAAAATCTAATACAATATACATTATATTATAAATATATTATATATAATAAATATAATATATATTATAAAAATAATCCAATAAACTAAACAGATA